CCCCAAAACCCCAAAACCCCAAAACCCCAAAACCCCTAATTTTATTATAAACATTGAAAATAGCAATGGAAAATAAGGGTAAATATTAATAACAGTTTCTTAATTCTCTACTAAACTTGGAAGCCCAAGTTAGTTGTTGGCTAACTTTCCCTTGGAATAGACGGAAGAACTCCTGATATCACTCTCAATAAGGAGAGATGCCCCATCTGCACACTGAAGCCCCCCTGCCAGCATTACGAGCATGTAGAAGAAATTAACTGGGATCGGGAATTCCCTAAAGTTAACTGTAAGCTTTATGTTAGTAGTGGAGTTTTACACCTATGTAGTCTTTTTAATTGGGGTTTACTTGGAAATTTTTCTAATTTTATAATGGGAATAAGGAGAATAAGACCCAAAATTAGCTAATTATGCTTGAAATTTAACTAAATACTATTCAAAAAGTCACTAATTGTGTTATATAGTCGAAGAGTTGACTCAGGCACCTCCGATCCAATCCTTTCTGATGAGTAAGCACTTCTCAACAAATCTCTGGCTCCTTAAACCATTGAGAAAATGACTATTTTCCAATAGATCTAGGAAGAAATAAGAACATTTTCAATGAGAATAAGTTAAAACATAAAAGATCGACTTCAAAATAAAAGAAAGAAGGAGACTAATTCCTTTGGTTCAAGGCATTCCTACAATACCTCGCCCAACCAGCCCACTTTTGAGAACTCCTTCGCTAGCAAGATCAGGGGCTGAACTGGAGCTGATGAGTGGAAGAGCACTGAGACTCTTTCTAGGTAAATATCTCATTTTTAACCATAATTTAACTCTAAAATGAGCCTAAAGAATATCATAGACTGGAATTCCACTCTCTAAAGCAAAGAAAGGATATAAAAGATCTTCAAAAGCAGAAAGTATTAAATTTTAAAGCCTTGAGAATGCAAAAGCAGGAACAAAAGTTAGCTCGACAGCGCCTCTTGGCTAAAGCTAAGCGTAATAAATGTCGTTCTGAAGTAAAGTCCCTCCAAAAACGCAACACAAAGCTGAAGAAGCAGTTAGCAGAATGGGAGCAGCAAAAGGAGCAAAAAGAGCAGCAATTGTTAGAGCAACTTCAGAAAGAAAAGGAGCGGAAGTAATGCGCAAAGTAAAAGAGAGAAGCAGCAGAGAAAGTTCCAACTTGAGAAGATCAAACAGTATAAGATTGAAGCCCAAAAGAGCCAGAGTCAAATGGATCAGAGACAGTTAGAAAAAGATAGGTTTATCCTAGAAATTTGCAAAAAGAAGAACAGGCTTAAGCAGGAAATTAATAAGCTAAGGTATGGTATCCTCCACCCTATTTTCCAGTGTCTATATTGGACTTTACTCTCTTATATTCAAAATAAAGTTGTCTCAATTATCTTATGAAAATACCGAGAGCTTAGCTTCAGCTCCTGCTTAATTGCCCGACCAAAAAGTGTAGAATCCCTGTTTTTAGTTTATGAGTTTTATGGGGAAGCCCAATGTTAAAGAAAGGTTAGAAATGAACACTCTCGCAGATTATTTGAGGGTTAGCAAAGTGTATCTCAAGCACTTGAAGTCTATGTCAAAAGCAAATTCATCAATTTTGGTTAAGCAACTAGACCAGAAGAAAGCTAGAAGTCATTTGCTTTTTGATACAGTAGCCTGGCACTTTATGAACACTGGATTTTTATAGCTGAGAAAAAGCTTTTCTTCAGTTCTGAAATGTCTTATAGACAAAGTCAACGGACAGGTGTCCCAAGATATGACTTAAATACCAGTGAGCTACTCAGACCAGTACAAATGTCCTCCTCTAGGGATGATATCATCCCAGAGGAGCCTATAAGATCTAGAGCTAAATCCAAGTCCCCAAAAGTGATTAGAAGATATTTTAAGAAGTATGGGCAGAACCACATTGGTAAGTATCTTACTACTAGAATGAGATAGTATTGAATCAGGTCCGATTTTTACGTATAGAAGCCATTGCACATCTGAACACAACAGTGTCAGCATTAGGGGTCTACAACAATCCATTACCCACCTTGAGAAGAGTTTATAGGTAATTCAATATCTCTAGTATTTTTAGGGGTTTTGGGGTTTTGGGGTTTTGGGGTTTTGGGG